GCCATGTGTGGGGGCAGGTGAGGGGGAGGAGTTTGTGGGAGGGTGTTGGGAAGGGGGATGCAGTGTTTGTGGGGGTTGTGATTGTGTGGAGGGAGGGTGTAGTTGAGTTTTTGGGGTAGAGTGTGTGGGTATGGTGAGGTGTGAATGGGAGCCATGTGCACACACACACATGCCCTCCTGAGCCAGTCAGGACCGCCCCCCCCTCAAAGTCCAGAGCCCACACACCCTGGGGCTCCTCACCACCAACAGCTTACAATCCCAACCTGCCCTACACCTGCTTCAGACTTGCCCCAGCTGAAGCAGACCAGCCAGAACCTGCACATGCAGCCCTGCCCCAGCCCTCCCCATGCCTGCTCTGGACCTCCCACCTACTCTGAGCAGCGGCTGGGCAGAAACTGCTGCTCAGTGCAGGGGAAAAGCAGACTCTTGCCCTCACTGCTGCCGGGCCCTTCTTGCTGCAGCCGCCCAGAGCCCATGCCTGGGCTGCCTGCAGCTCCTTTCTGCTGTTGTCACCACTGCCTCCAGGCTGCCCCGCAGTGGCAGCGCAGAGGAGCCACAGGGCAGCCCAAGCACGGGCTCCAGGTGGCTGCAGCAAGAAGGGCCTGGCAGCAGTAAAGGGGAGAGGTTGCTTTTCCCCTGCACCAAGCAGCAGCTTCTGCCCAGCCGCCGCTCCTGGTGCTGCGCAGTATGGGCGAGCGAGTCCAGAGTGGGTGTGGGGCATGCCAGGTTGTGGCTGTATGCACGAGTACCTCCCGCCCCCCCCACCCCCCAGTACTGCGGTGCTGGGGCCAGTGGCCATGACAGCCAGAAGGAACCACCGCCACCTGGGCTACCTAGAAAGGCAGTGCTGCTGCAGAGCCACCCCGACTGTGCTGCATGCCCAGGGGGTGGCAGGACTGAGCCAGGCAGGACTGAGGAACCAAATGAAGTTCCTCTGTGAACCATATTTTGCCCACCTCTGTCTTAGGGCTATGTTAAAGTTGGTGGCATTGTGACAAAGATTGTTTTGCTGAAATGTATGTAATGAGTGCAAGGATTATGTTCAGCAACCTGATGTCTCACTTGACATAATGATATTGTCTCACGAGACAGACAGATGCCTACTAGTATTAATGAGTGCGCTGTGTAAAAAATGTTATCAATTTATCTTTAATAGTCAATTATACTCGGCCTGTGATTGTTTTGGGACCCATGAAAGACAGAATAAACGATGATCTGATCTCAGAATTTCCAGACAAGTTTGGATCGTGTGTTCCACGTAAGTCCCAAGAAATACTATGTTGGTTCTAGATTGGATGTGGCCTGTAATAGTCTAGTGTTATCTCTCTCTGTTAAGTTCAAGAATGTTTATATCATAACATATGTTCACTTCATAGAAGTTTTTTTGGACTAATTTATGTTCGCTACTCATTGGTGACAATTTTACAGTACAAATTGAAGGTATTCACTGGAAGTACTTGTTTCCAGGTATTGTTAAAAAAAAAAACAAAACAAAACAAAGCAAAAAAACTATATAATTTGTGCCAATACTTGCATCTTCCACTTAATGAACATTCACCTGTCCTTAAAGATACTACCAGACCAAAGCGAGATTATGAGGTGGATGGAAGGGATTACCATTTTGTCACTTCTCGAGAGCAGATGGAGAAGGACATTCAGGATCATAAATTCATAGAAGCTGGTCAGTACAACAATCACCTTTATGGGACAAGTGTCCAGTCAGTACGTGAAGTAGCAGAAAAGGTGAGATGTTTGCCAGTTGCTTACTTCCATATCTTGAACTGATATTTTGTTTCATATACATTTGGGCAAGAACCCATGTCATGTTCTATCCTGATGTCGTGCCCCGCCCCCCCCCACCCCACCCCCACACACACGTCATGAGATCTGTCCACCATCACCCCTAACTTGTCTGGATTCACCTTTGATCAGCTCACCTGCATCTAGTCCCCCGCTACGGCCAGACAGCAACTGGGCACTCATAGGGTGGTAAAATCCTTGGTTCTTTTGAAATCAATGGCAAAACTCTCATTATTTCAGTGGGTTGATGTTTTCATTTCTAAATTGTATGCGTTATGCCCATCTGTGATTAAGACAACTTGGCACATTGGCTTTTTCCTCTCTTTTTCTTTCTCCCATACTTCAGGGTAAACACTGCATTCTTGATGTCTCTGGTAATGCAATCAAGAGATTGCAGATTGCCCAGCTGTACCCAATCTCCATTTTTATTAAACCCAAATCCGTGGAAAATATCACGTAAGTAAAAACAATGTACCTGAAGCTGAAATTGTTTCAAAGACTGTCACGGTCCCTGACTAACCAGTGTCAAGTCATTTAAAAGATGACATAGAACTTGCTCTGTAAAATTTAGTTGTTTATTTTAAGTGGTTAATTTACATAGCTGCATTTCTAAGAGGAGCTTTTAAAACAGGTTTTACATTTAGACTGCTGGGGTTTTCCAACCTGAATTCTGGTGTCTACTCGATGCCAAGTAGGGCCGTGCTGACTTACCTCTCTCATTGTAACCTTGTGCTCTTCAGGAGTTGATAGCCTTATCCTGTTGCTGAATCGGTCGTTTCATAGTTTCTAAGGTCGGAAGGGACCTGAGCAGATCATCTAATCCGACCCCCTGCCATGGCAGGAAGAGCACTGGGGTCAAATGACCCCAGTAAGGTGGTCATCCAACCTCCTCTTAAAAACCCCCAGGGTGGGAGCCTGCACCACCTCACTTGGAAGCTGGTTCCAGACTCTAGCCGCCCTGACCGTGAA